TATATCTTAATTTCGCATATGTGGTTGACATATCTGATTACATTCTTCAGGATTATCGATATAGTATTAACTATTTAGGACTATTAAACAATGTGAATCGGTACTACTCTAGAATTAGTCAGTTATTACTGGAAGAAAGGAATTAGACTGTTTGATTTATCAAATTTGACATTAAACTCTCAAAGAAATAAATAATACCTTGATTTTTAAGATAACGTGTTCATGTTTGCTATATTTTCTTATTAATAGGGTAGAATGGAGCAGGACATTTTTCCTGTAATTCGATTACTGTATGCGTCACTAACATGTGGACTTCATTTTTAATAAACAGTTTAAGTTTACATAATATATGAATTTATCCATTCATTTAATCTTGTTTTTTGACCATTTTTCTAACTGAATCACTAGGAATAAAATTTGCAGTCCTTTTACCTAATAAATATGTCTTGATCTATTATTATGCACGGCTCGTTGAATTTCTTCGTTTATAATTCGGTAAATGTAAGTGATACAGTGGCTTATAGGTTGAAGTATTCGGTTATCTATCGAATCTCTTTGGATGTGTTTCTTGTTTAGCAAGTCATTAGTATTCTTAGTCCTCACAAAAAAGCTAAATACAGAAGTTTGTACATATTTACAGTGGTAATTAAAATTCAAATAAAATAACTGTCTGTTTTTTGATAACGTAGTTTGTAATGTTGCGTTATCGTTCATTTTTATGTTGACTTTCCAATTTGCCTGTAGAATGTATCGTCTGAATAGAGGTAAAACTTTTTCTTGTCTCTTTTTTATTTTTATACATTCTACCCATCTGCATTCATTATTGACTTTTATCATTTATGAAAATGACTCATTTTTTCTACCGTTAAATATAGGCTTCCTTCCTTACATTCCTCTGACTTTTGGGAGTTGAACATTTTAATGTGTAAGGGTATATAAATGAATAAGTGTGTCTATAAAATACATTGTCTCACTTTCTTTAGTCTAAGTATTGTTTGTCCATACCAGTTTTATTAATAATACGCTTTTCTGATTATGTTTTGGCTCGTTCGTTTTAGTCTTTCAGAAACTCATAGTATATGGTTTTAAGAGTTCTCTTCTCTCACATTCTCATCAGTACTGCAATTATTTGCTTGTTCGTATTTGTAATTTTTTGCTAAATATAACCCATGTTCATTGATGCTTTGTTCGTGTTCACTATTTCACACATTCATTCCTCAATGTGTTTAGTGAAGTTGTTTACTTTGATTATGAATTAAAATATTATTTGTTAGTAGAGAATTTATCTCTTATAGTTCTGACCGTCACCCTAACTTTTATTTATTGAAATGTTTGGGCTTGTAAAATACAACCATTATTTGCTTTTTATTTCTTTTGTATATATTAAAAGAAGTTTATTTAGTACACAACTGTTACAAAATAATACCGATTCTTGTTTACTCTATTCTGTGTTCGTACTAGGCAAGCAGACTACCAAATAACACACTAATTTCCTGGAGTTACCTAAGTAAAAAGTTTGTGTATGTCTGGACTGTCATGTCTGACCAGTTTCGCTTATTCTTTTCTTCCTTTGATTTATTCATTTAAAACTTCGATACTTCATAGTTGCTCACATTCTTCTTGTCCTCTTGTTTACCGTTATCACTGAATTTCGTATAAACTCGTCTTAATACTGATTCTAACTCCACATTTCTTATTTCTTCATTTACCTTTTCAATCTGCTCTCGTTTCATCGGTACAATAAATAGATCATGTCGACAAGTGATAGATAATGAAAGTGGTCTACCTTCTGTGCTTTGGTAGGTTTTCCATTTAATAGCAGTTCTTGTGTACATATCATCAAAAAAATTGGATAATCGGGAATCGTTTATTGATTATTATTTAGCTCAAATGAACCATTGTGGAAAAGTAATGGGTCAACATCAACGAATAAATTAGAATGGCACAATATTCATATTCCTATTAATACTAATCTTCAATCGAGTGATTTTAAGGTTTGTTTTCTCTCTCTCTGTTTGTTTGTGTGTTGATAGTTGTACAATATTACACATACTTTTATTGATTTATTTACTGAGTTATTTCTAAAGTATTTACAAACTGTATTAATAATGATGTCTGTAATGTTTTTCGACATTTTTTGACTGCTGGATAAATTATTCAACTTTCAGTTTGTTTGAAAATGCGTTTATGTTTTGAGAATGTTGTTATTGTAAGGTTTTAATTTTTGTTGAGTAATTCGCGAAATAATTTTTTTGATCTCACATGCGGCGATAGTAGTGAGAATTCGCGTTTATTGTAGAAAGTAATTTATCTCCATATTTTTTAATCATAAATTTGTATCATTATAAAGATTGAATTATGTCATTTCATCTTTTTCATGAATTTCATTATTGAATGGTGTTAAAACTTGATTCGAAATTACCATACATTGATACAGATGTTCTTATGTTCACTACGAGTAGTTTCAGAACTCTTTTCATTCTTCATGACTTCTCTGAGTACATTATGATGATGTGATGTGCATGAAATGAACCCAATGAAACTGATAGTATAACTTGCTTGCTGCCAACTAGTATAATACTTATAACTAGTAAACTGTTTTTGAATTAGAATTAAACAACTTATTATTCGATTCATTAACTATATTATTACTGATTATTTGTTTTTCCGCATAAGATGACTAATGTCCTTCGTACATCCAAACTATTATTATGCCCACCCGTGAATATCTAATTTGACAAGGCATCTAACATGTTTTCTTTCATAATGTAAAGTATTCATCTATACAAAAGCTCTATCAACTGATTATTTATCCATGTTCTCCTTTTATTGATTAATCTATCATATTGTTTCATTGAAACTTTTAATCATATTATTATTCATTGTCGTCTAATATTGAAATGCGTCACCAAGACAAAAACATGATCCATTTTTCATTTCTTTTGTTTTATTTGTTTTATCTTGTGTCAAATTTAATAGTTGAACAATAGAAAATCATAAAAAGTAGTGCGATTTAATAATTATCATTACATTTTCAAACACAGATAGATAAATAAAGAATCTATTTTTATTTTATCGGCTATTCCACAGTTACACAGTTAGATGGATGTTTTAAATAAATAATCAAGTTTAAAGTAAATGCATCTTTTAATGTATAACATAAATATCTTTCTAATGTAGTTGTTTGTTTGTTTTTGTATGTGTTCATCTTGCTGATAGATTACTTTTACATTTACTTATCATACTATATTTAATATTCAGTCACAATTGATCCATTATCGCTTATCATTTTTCATATTTCTTATTGAAGCTAGTGATAATCTCAAATTATTGTTTGTTTCTGTCCAAATCAATTCAGTATTTACCTACAAACTATCCTGAAACGATATTTATATGTTATCTGTATTTATCTTTTTGATCCACTTATTTTTTTCTGTTTACTTTGTTTCTTGGTTCGCTATCAAACTTGCTACTTTCGCCATTTTTTAATTATTTTTCAATGGTTAAGATCATGAGTCAGTTGAAGCTAGACCACCATGGAAAACCTGGAATTGATACTAGAATTAAAATAAACTGTATTGTATGATTTTTAATTTTCTTTGAAAAGGTCACCGTCATGTTTTTTTTGGCGGGGGTGTAAAATAGTTCATACAGTAGCAACACTAATGATCAGGCTATAATTTATGGGCGACCTGGAATCCATACAAAGCAGCAATCGACATTTTTGAAGTGAAAGCTGTGCAATTGGGCACTAATCACAAGTTAACCTGCTTTCTTTAGTTAATAAATTCCAAATAAGTATACTTAGTTTCTGGTAATTTTATTATAAAAATGTGAGTAATCAAGTGCCATACTTTTGAAAATCTTGATAGTACAAAACTGGTAAGACTACAATTTGTGGACGACCGTTGAGTTATAGTCAAGTAAGTTGAAGAATATCCACCTGCTTAGTAGGGTTAAATCAGGGTTATAAATCATAAACAATTAGGATTAAGATTAACAGTTGTACATCAGGCTTATGAATTACAGTGACGGTTTTCACTATGAACTGACATCAGTTGTAGTTCCAAAATTACTATTCAGCCATATGGATAAATGAATTTTGAGCCAAAATCTTTGGTTTCATTAGTTCGTTCATAAATTATAATCTCTCCATACTAATCAAGAATAATATTAGTAGTTTCTATGTTCCGTGGTGTTACTCATTCGCAGTACGTCAAGTCACTCAGTCAGTCGTATACAGCTCAAGAGTTGACAAATATGTACGTTTACTAAAGTTGCCAAATCCTTTGTGCACAATAGGTTTCCTTCATTAGCGTCCATCGTTTACGTTCTATGCGATTATCAAAGTGATATTGTCTAAATTTCTTAACACTTCAATAGATTGTGAACATATCTGCATGATCATTTTAAAAAAATTTTGTTTTTATCTTAATCTAAAATTATAGTCTATCCAAGATGAAATTAGTTTAATTGGTACGTACTTTGTATTCATATTAAAGACACTAAATCGTTTGCAGCTGTTTAATGAAATCTTATTGTTTGTGTAGCTTGATTTGTTACTAGATATTTTCAGTGAAACATTTGTTCTACATTCTGTTACTACTACTGCTTTGGGAATTTAATGGTGTTTTAGGTTATAGTGTAACGTTCAGTTATAATCTGTTATATATTTATATATTATAGCCAGTGTGTTTCATGGAAATATCTACACGCACTGTAATTTAAAACTATAGAGAGATTAGTGATAACTGAGCCTTGTTAATTTCTTCAGTATACAGGGTTACTTTTAACTTTCAATGTACTGTTTGTAGAGTACTTTTGTATGTTTATTAGTTGAGATGGATAGAAAGGGTGTTTTTATTGGCTGTTTGATTATCCTCGAATTTATTCATTCCTTTTACACTTTACTCTTCCATTCATCGATAAGGTCACTATCGAGATTGTTATCTTTTTAGTCATTTTTAAAACATATCTTGCATATGTTTTACCCCTCACAGAGCATGTCGTAGCCAAACACAGGACGTCCAAGCTCTTAGTGTATGGTAAGGCCAAACAATATTAATAAAATAAAATGACCTAATTTACCCTACTTCCAGCTCATCAGATGTTTTATGGCGCAGCAATTTAAGCAAAGTACATGTAAGCGAAGATAAATGGAATCAAGTATATGTAAAATTGGATACTTCTCCAACAGTAAATAATCAGATTTCAACAAGTTTAGCAGATTTCAAGGTTAGTTCAGCTCATGAAATTAGACCCTATAAAAGATGTAATTATATAATTAATTTATATGTATATACTATGTGTAAACCACTTTACAGTAGTTTAAGTGAATGTTTTTCATACCTTAAATTAAGAGTTTAACTGTAGTTGCTATCTCCAATGTCACACATATTGTCAAATAATCCAGTAAATAGACTTCTTCAAATTTATTACATTGTATGGTTAACTATCTAACATTAAATATTGGTTTTTTGTTGAAGCATTTTAGTATGATGATCTATTGCATTTTTTTCTTACATATTTATCCCTCAACCTTGCTTTATAATTGTAATTTGCTTAGTTATGAGCAATAAATTGATATAGCAGATTGATTTTGAACTTGTCTGGAAATGTTTCTCGATTAGATTATGTGTTCTTATTTGTTATATGCTCCAATTATTAGATTCATCCTGCCTATTTTATTGGTTTATCATTATTGAAATGTGTAAAGAATACTTAATTATCAAGCTGTATAGAAACGATTTAAGAAAAGAAACTACATTTTTTCTGTTTGTATATGGAAATTTTTTTACTGTCAAAATTTATAATTTCATATCGATTGTAATGAATTTGATATTTGTGTTGTATCATTCCTTGCAATAAAAATATATTTCATCGTATATGAAATATAATTTAAGTATGAATTTCTTTAAGCAAATGGTTATTTTGTGTGAAATATGTAATATCAATGATTAAGATCATGAGTCAGTTGAAGCTAGAACACTATGGAAAACCTGGAAGCACTGGACGGCCGTTTCGTCCTATTGTGGGACTCCTCAGCAGTGCGCATCCACGATCTCGTCCCTGCGAGATTCGAACCCAGGACATACTCGTTTCGCGTGCGAGCACTTAACACCTAGACCACTGAGCCGGCATCCAACGGTGTTAATGTCTAACTTCAACTAATCCACGAAATTGAGCGACACATCCACCACTGTCCTCAGTGAGATACTATCTGACAACAGGCCATTGAAATTACTATATTATCTACAAAACCCATCTGATATAAATATATAAAAGTTTGAATTGGTTCATTGTGTTTAACAAAATAATTGCTTTTTTTATACACTGAATAAGAATATGTTCGAGATGCCTCTTACAAGTCCACTTGCTTTTCTTGATATCGTTCGTTCTCCTTTCTAGACCGTAAATAGTTATCAATACATATCTAGTTTATCATAATGAAAATATTGATAAAAATAGTGTTGTTTTTACGCCACATTTATGCATAATCCACTTTCAAAATGTATAAATCGTTTGTGAGTTTATGAAACTGTTTTATATCTTATAAAATTATCATCGTTTTTACGTCGTGGTTACTTGATGAACATACCACAAAATCTTATGGTAATCTTTCTTTGTAGTTGTAATCCTTTTCATTTTCCCGTAATTTTGTAACTATTCTATTTATTCCTGATTATTTCTTTTCAACCCTTCCATTTTTCACAAATTTATGAGATACCTAAAATGAATATTAACAACCCAGTGGTTATTGTATTTGACTTTTAGATGCAGAGTCACGAGTTCGAATCCAATTCTATTTATTTCATTCTAAGCAGTCAATTATTGTATGTCGGAATATTTGTATACTATTTGTTAAGTCAATATGTTGAAACAATTCCAAAAAAGCCTAACAACCTCTACATATTTCTCAAATTAGCAATTTATAAACTATGGTTTAGGGATTCATCATCATACTTGTAGGTCTGTAGGTTGTATTTTCGATCGTGATTATTTTTACTAAACCAATAATTTAAGAACTAGCTTGTAACTTGACATATCATTGCATTTAGGTAATTATCTGGTATTTTTTTACTCTTGATAGTATCAGAATACACAAAAGATTTACTTATACATTGTTATTGTTATTATTATCATCATTTCAAGAGCTTATTCAAAATCTTCACTTAAGTTTGTTTAACTATTATATAGTGGAGTTGTAGCTCAGTGATTAAGGCTTTTCACATTTGATCACTAAGTCCTCAATTGAAATCCTTTTCCCAACATCATTAAGTTTTTAACTAAGAGTTTAGCTTAAAGCCAAGTATATGAATCCTTACCTACTTCTCACCGTTTTCACAAATTACCGAATATTAAATATCCTAGCTTACACTTTTATTTCAACACGTTAATTTGTAAATCCTTATAGCTTGATCAACCTTTCATCTGTTTGTACGTGTTTGTGTTTGTTAAAAGGTCTATGCTGGTTTTGTGCTCTCAACTTTGTTCCTTTCACCTAATTTTTAATGTTGTTCTGTATCAGCTTGTCTTAGTAATGTTATTTTTCTTTTTCGATGTCTTAATATTATAAATTTTCCAACGTATTCTAGATCATGTACTCAAGTGAGACGTGAAAATTCACGTGGATCAACTGTTATGTGGTAGGCTGATAAGTTTTTTTTACATGAGTAATTCTTTTTTATCAAGTGAAAATGAAGATCTTTGGAGTTCAGTAAATGATATTTCTGTTCATGAAACTAAATGGCACAAAGTACGAGTTAATTTAGGTGATTCGATGAACTCATCTGATTATAAGGTAATTAATTATATTTTTATCATTTTATAAGTGACAAAATCCTTGATTTTAAAAGTTCTTAGCTGTTAGACAAATAAAAAGTAATGACATTATTTTACACATAATACTCTTTTAATAATTGTAGTATTTCGGCTGTTGAATTCACGAGTCGATGTATGCTGCACCACCATTAAGAACCTGTGAGGACTGGACGAGAGTTTCTTCCTAGTATGAGACTCCTCACCAGTGCGCATCCACTATGCTACACGCGGAACTCGAAACCGGGATATTCGGTCTTGCGCTTTTTCAATGATGGTTTAGCTTAGATTGACTCGTGAATCCAACTGTTATATATATATCGTGTATTCGATAAAACAAACAGCTTATGGCTGATTGATTTGCGTATAACGATCAAATCATTACTCTAAGTCACAAATTATATTGTATTGAATGTAAATAAAATATTGAACAGTTTCTCAACGTGCTTTAGAATAAGTGTGGTTCGATATTCAATATAGAAATACAATTTACTTTATTATAATAAATTATATGCCACTCTATTTTTGTCTTTTCATATAATATTTAATGTACTGTTGCACATTAGTAAACAATAACCATTAAAGTTATTTTTAATACAAACGAAACTTAAATGATCGAAGGAATTTTACTTTTAAACACTGAAATATATATATATATATATGCCTTTTTCTGATATACGCTGAATTTTACACTGAGGGTGGTAATATGTAAAATTATTACGAATGTAATATCATGTGAACTGAGGCAATCTAGTTTGATAGCTGTATTCATTTGAATGGTATACCGTCTAGTAGCCTAATGTATTTCACTTAATAATAACATTTATATGGAAGGTTTCAAGTTTACTTTGTATAGATGTAACAAGCAATTGTTTTTTCCTTCATAGTGCATAGTTTTTAGGCAGTACTGTAAATAATTTTCTACTGTCTTCGAAAATCTAAAATACTCAGTGTTTTGAATTCTTCATATTACTGTTGTTTCGTGAATAAAGGTTTCAGTTTTGTTGTATAAAGTTGGGATTTATGCTTTTGGCCATGTTAATTCGTTCAGTTTGTTATTTATCTTTTAGTAGGTTACTTAAACTACTTTAATTGTAATCAGTAATATTACACTTTATTGGTTTCTATTCGAATCTGTTAATTCATATATTTGTATGGTTAGTTATAATTATACGAAATATCTTCAAAATTCAATCTACATGAATAAAATCATGGATCGAAATGTCTTAATTAGTCATTAGAGTTTCTTAGTAACTCTCTGTTTGCATCTTGAATGTTTGTTGTCGATTTCTGAATATGATTGTTTGTGCTTTACATCCACTTCTCTGTTACCATCTACTCTTCTGTCTGATTAAGTATTTGTGTCGATTATATTCTGGTTTTTGTTATTTGAAATTGCTACTATTTATTATTTAGCTCTTGTCGAAGTGATTTGGATCCTAAAACTGGACTTCCATCCGTAATCTGGTAGGTATCTCCTTTATATAGACATTGGATTGTGATAATTTAGTGCTAATGAACAACTGTGGTCAACTCCTCGCCATATGATAGCTGATGGTTGGAAAAATGTTAAGATTGATTTAACCACTTCAAGTCATCAAACAGATTATAAGGTACCTGATATCTTTAAAGTTATGATAGTATTACCTTCCACTTTTCCGTCACTGATTCTATTATGTTGTTTATTTTTTGTTAGTTTGAACATCGTTCATGTATTTGTTGTGTATCCGCTGTTGAAACAATAAGTATGCTTGTTGAATCCATTGATGAAAATCTCTTTTATCCTACTACTTTTCAATTACCTGATACCTTCTCTTTTTTGTGTCTAACTTAAATAAGTAAACATTTTTCGTACAAAAATATTCTCCATTATATAATTATTTCAAAATTTTATTCAGATCGTGCACTGAAATTAAGCGTGGACCATCAGGTGGATCAGCTGTCACATGGTAGGCTGTTGAATATTAGCAACAACGATAATCAATCTTTCTATTCAGTGAGAATCAAGGTCTTTGGACCTCTGTTAACGATAAAACTAATCATCAGAGTAAATGGAAAATGGTACATGTGACATTGGATAATCAATTAGAAAAATTCGATTATAAGGTACCTGTAGAGAGAGAATATCATTAAAATTAGTTTTAATGTGTTTACCAACCTATGTTAGACAAAACATACGTGGAGCTTTAAATCTGATATATTCTTACTCGCATTTTCACCTGCTGACTTGAAATCAAATTTTAACTCATAGCTTAATCAATTTTTCCATAAAATAAATACGTTTCGGGGTATCTACAATCTTCATGAATGGAAATTTATCTAAATTTATATTTCAGTTTACTGGGCAACACATTTGACTTTCTTGATAATCTCAAAACAGTTTTTAGTTAATGATATTAACTGAAAGAAATTGAGGA